GCACACAGCAATCAAAAGTTTAAAGAAGAAGGTTAGTACGTAATTGTGCTTTAAGAAAAAGCTAATCTTTACATTACAAAGTATAGAAGTCGCTTCCGCTATCTGTTCGCTTTAAAGATCTATTAAATTACTCAAAAGATTTTAGTGCATTTTTCAGCAATAGATTGATTCACGAGGAAGTTTTACATGCTTAATAAATGGCATCCGTGAGAAGCCGGGGTGGATCGGTAGTAAGTCATCGGATTAACATTCTTAATTAGAATACACCTGGCCATCGACATCATAATATATCACCCCAGTAGTAAAAAAATAACAAAATAAGTAAGAATCGTGCGTGTATACCTTGCCGCCTACGTTTTGTAAAGCATTGACATTGTTAGCATTGATGTCACACTATATTGGCGGTTAATAAGTGTTGTGTTGCCTTGTGTGCAAAGGGCCTTACAACAGCCAAGCGAGGCCTGTTTCTTAGCTATTTCTCTATCGAGATATCTTGACCTCTCCGTGGCGAAAGCCCCAAGGTCGCACCCACTTGTGCTCGTGAGCCCATAGTACAGTCAGCAAAGATTGACTAATTCTAAGATACTTCTCTATATTTTTTGGGTTAGGCACTTATTGCACTGTTTATTTCAGTTACACACAGTTAGCCTGTTTCTATTAAGATTTTTTTAATTGGTTCTTGATGGGAGCCTTGCATGTCAGATGTGGTTTTGGACTAGAAAAGGAAAGAGAGCTTTAGCAAGTATTTAGAGTAGGTACGAGTACGAGTATATTCATTTGTATCGATTCTTAGTTGAGTTTATTTATTTTTTACGATCGCCATATCACAACCTATGCTTAGTTTGTGGCAATAGGTGGGATAATAAAAGGGTAATGTAGAGTAACTAGGTGGGAATGGCAATGTAGAGAAAGCATTTATTTGTATAACTATTTTCTTATTCCCCACCTGAAAAAAGTTTTTAACTTTACGTGAAAAAAGTCACTGACGTCTTTCAGTTATTGTTTAAATCAATCTGACTGTACCCACTATGGAATGTTTGTGTATACTTTAGCTGTTAGCGAATTTTCATACCTTGACTTTGCATAGAGAAACACTTCTGAGTTTCCGTATTTGTAATTGCAAATCAGCTAGTTGACACGAAGGTTTAAGTTCAAAGTAAAGGAGAGAAATAGCTACGTCACAGTGTTTGTCTTCATCCTTTAAATTATCACGTACTTATCTAAGAACTTTTGGTTAAAAATATTCATAACTAGCTTTCCACCCACGGCTTCGCGCGCATTGACTACATTATCTACATATTTTACGGAACCCTATTTTTTTCCAAAATAAAATGTAACCTATGTTACTCGTGGACAAGGTAGCTATCGAATGGTGAAAGAATTTTTAAAAACGGTCCCTTGATGCCCAATTGTTTAATTTACTCCTAAGTTCTACATAAGCGCTATTTATAAAAATGATTGTCTCTACTAATTTTAGAAAATGGCGATAAATTATTTTCCAACTAACAAGACACGAATAGTAAATTGGCAGATAATAAAATAAATAATAATACATATTGAAATAATGAGGCATTCGTCCACTAATGACATAAAATAGCGTCAAACTTTTACTTATACAACACGAACACGCCGTCTTAAATATGGCCTCAAAGATCGTGATTAACTTATTTCTTCACGATTAAAACCTCAACTAGCTATTAAATCAAAAGAGCTAAATACTAAATAGTACCTTAATTAGCTAGTGAGATGACTGAACTAGACACATTATTATATCGTTTTTGTCGGCGGAGATAATTGCACACACAATTCACACTTTATTGACTGCATAGTTGCATTATTACGTAATGTACTTAAAGTGCAAATTATAGATTTCTAATTACAAACTCTTTATCGCGCTTTTATCACCTTCAGTTTATGTGCTTATTTATGATTTTCTGATTAGTTTTTGTAATGCAGACCGCCTTGCACCGCTACAAATCTACGATGTCTAACGCCCGTATTCACAAACATTACTATGAGGTCTCACAGTGCGCGTGGACGCACATGGTGACACACGAAGTAATCACAGAGCTCTATTCAACGCTGTGCGTTTAATTTGCTGCTTCACTTAAGCAATCATCGTTTGTGAATACGGGCGTAAATGTCTAAACTTTGCTGTAACAACTGTGGATTTTTATGGATCACTCTTCTAGATTTTAAAATTTAGCCCATGGACATAAAATTTCTACAAAAAATGTATGTTTGTCTAGAATTCTAGATTATAATTCATGTGCGAGGGGTTTTGCCGCGAAAATCGGTACTTTTTGTAGTTCCGTTAAATATTACAATTCCGTTCTTATTTCTAAGTACGAGGTACTACCTATTATTTTTGTTGTAACAACCTTCAATGGGAAAAGTTTGTCATTAAAACTCTCCAGCAATTTTACCAAACACGGCACAAACAAACAACTTATTATAGCTATTAAGGGACCATTATATCACCATAATAGCCATGAGAGACCTATAACGTGGTACAACTATACATTCTCCTAGGCTAGAACCAGAGCCATTGTTCGGGCGAGGCGAGCGGTCGCCTCCAAGGCCCAAGGTGACTCGGTTGACTGACCGGTCGCATTCCGACTCACTTTGTTTTTATCACAAGTGAGCCAAAGGGGTGGCCTTTCGTTTATCAATTTGAAAGAATTGGACTGTTTTGATTGGGATGTGAGTGATGTATTTTTTGTAATAAGCACACGGTGTTTTATAAAATCAACTAGTGACCGGCCGCCCCGGCTTCGCACGGGTGCTATGTAAGTACCTATACATACAAAATCCATTTCGTAGTTTCAAAGATCTAAGCATAAGCACATAGGGACAGACAGCTACTATGTAGTGATGACATTTTAACTAATCACGCGGTTTTCGTTAATTTTTTTTTTGATTGACTGACCGGTCGCATTCCGACTCACTTTGTTTTTATCAAGTGAGCACCAAAGGGGTGGCCTTTCGTTCACTGATTTGAAAGAATTAAGCTGAGATGGACCATCTTACTTTAACAATTGTCAAAATCTGTCAAACTCCATACAAAAAACACCGGAACTTTAACAAACGTCAAAAATCTGTCAAACTCCATACAAGAAACACCAGTTATTGTTATTACGGTTAAAGTAAGTTGGTGCAACTGTTAATGTGATTGTTAGAGGTTGGAAATGATATGTGAGTTGTCGAGGTATTTTTTGTAATAATCACACGGTTTTCTTTATTTTTTTTTTGTAGTGTTGACTGACCGGTCACATTCCGACTCACATTGTTTTTATCACAAGCTTAGAGAATGAAATCACAAGTGAATACCAAAGGGGTGGCTTTTCGTTTACCAATTTAAAATAATTGGACTGTTGTGATTGGTAAAGATGGGCATTTCCTCATAATATGCGAGTTATCGAGGTATTTTTTTATGAGCTCCCAATTTTTTCAAACTATCACATGGGTCTTAATGGGTTTTAATCAATAACATTTTTCTTTCTGTTAGTAGCCTTTGACTGTAGTGGTTGCTGTAGGTAGTGAAGATAGAGAGGGCCAGTGGACATGCAGTTTCATGCATTTCCTGATGAAAAAAAAAGGTAGAGATGGGATATAAGATGAGATGATAAGTTGTCGAGGTATTTAGTTAAAGGCACGGATGTTTTTTTAATCAATAACATGATTTTTTTGTTAGGATCAAATTGGAGGGTTTAAAAGATTATAATGGAGATAAGAAATGAGTTGTGATTGTGAAGCAGTCGAAGAATTTTGTAATTCCTTTTTTTTCGATACACAATTAGAGCCAGTTTTCGGACAGCAATTATGTTAGACTCTACATAAAATAAAATGATTACACCATCATCGGAAGGTGTATGTATATTTATGTATTTAGGTTGAGTTGCACCAACGTACTTTAACCGTAACTTTGACAATAACCGATGCTTTTTGTATGGGATTTGACAGATTTTTGACTTTTGTTAAAGTCTAAACTCAGCCTTAGTCCTGCAAAGGTTTGGTAGTACTTATTTGGTCTGATATCACGAGTTAAGGATCTACTACATAGATATTTATCGCCTCTCTGCAGAAGCAAGTGCACTTTCAACATATAATGACATAGTAATGCGTTAGCTGACTGCATTCTATTAGCGGGTTCCATTGGCAAGGTTGTGATAGTGATTAGATCATTATATCACATTCCTTCAGCATTTAGCAAGTACATACAGTGTCAAATAGTTCGTGACACCCAAAGTGACCAAAAAGTTGACAACACAACCTTATTCGATTTGGAACAAAGACGTGTTGCGAACGTTGTGGATACTTTGGGTGACATTAACCTTTTGACGGTGACTGTACAAGCAACGGCACACGGCTAAAACACTATGACCTGCCTATTTTAAGTATTAATTGTAATGGAGATGCAATTTGGAACACAAATGTTAATCTGTTCTGTTGTCGACTGTATTTAGACACATATAATAGAATCGAGGTAAAACTTAATCCGTTTTCTAATTTAGACACTTTCAGTATGATCTCATACTAAAATCCTGTAGTTTAAGCAATAAAACAAAGTAACACAGAGCTGTTCTACAAGACTGCATTGAGCATTTCCTGTTTGCGACAAAGATGTCCTTCTCCACTTCAACCTGATCTGTAAATGCAATAAAAGTGGCAAGAAGTAAATTAAGATGAATTTTCAAATACATTTCGGTCATGGTAACGGTGGGAAAAGGGGTGCATCTGGTAAAAGTCGCGGGAGGAGCCTGGATGCAATGCAGCCAGCGCAGGACCGTTCATTGTGGAAAACCTTGGGGGAGGCCTTTGTCCAGAAGTGGACGTCATTTGGCTGAAACGAACGAACGAACCTAGTTTTATATTTGTATGTATAGTTTTCCCGACACAAATAATAAATTGATATTAAACATAGATAGACATACTTTTACCATTATGTACTATCTGTTATTTTAAAACTAGTTTTTACAAATAAATATTTTTGATTTCAGGTTACTGGTTACTCCGCCGTTTTGGTAAGTTTTCGCACATATGCCACTTAATTTATTTTGATAAAAGAAAGTACATAAATGACAGCTTGAAGAAAAAATAGATGTTTGAGTGACTGAGTTTGTTCCGGCGTTTCTTCTCAGCACTTGCCATAATGTTTGTCTCGAAGCGCTGGTAGGGCCCAAAAGATAAGGAGACATGTAAAGTGCCCCATAAGGGCTACCTTTTCTTTTTTTATTATTTTCTATTGACGTTCATAAGTGCCACTTGTGGTCTAAACTGAATAAATATTTTTGATTTTGATTTTGAATAGTCAATAGGTAATATCAAAGTAGCTCCAGGTGATGCAGTTTTGCCATTTCAGCTGTAAAACTAAAATTGGTTCATTTATAATATTAATGGAATCGATATGATAATTTTATGACTGTTCATAGAACAAGGAATTCAGATTCAATAAGCAGGGACTACGAGTATTACTTGCATACGACTTTCGATTTAATAGCCCAGCCATTCGACGCATTTCTAGATTCACGCACTCTGTAATGAGCGCCGTGCATACGAGTACAATAAGGAATGGCGAACAAGGATATAACTTTATTTCTATGGAAGGACATCAAGTTTTTTTTTCTAGTTACTATTATGACTGACCGACCTGTTGCTGACTAGCGGATAATTTTTTTTATTATGTTCAGCTCTTGAATAATTTTTTTAGTAACTTAATAGACGGCTGTCAATTTTCCGAAAATACTCCTTCTAGACGAATTGAATTCAAGTCTGTCTCTACGTTAATGTTCAAAACTCGATTTAATATCATAAATTCAACTAATCAAAAGCTTCCATTTACCTGCGTTTGATTTTGATACGAGTTTTAAACTCAAGGTGGACAAGAAATTCTAAGTTCAAACATAACTAAAAAAAAGTTCGACATCGCGTTTTACTCGTATGGTTAGCTTAGAATGCTACTTTATCAAGGGTGGTGTCTCTTCCAGTTCTGATGTTCTTCGTCCAATACAATATACATTCCAGTAATCTGCTCAGCTTGAATTCTGCTTGAATCTCTAATCGGTGAGAGTCTGCAATTCGCATGTCTGGTAATGGCTGTTTGTGTTTATATCACTTGTCTATCTATGGTGCCTTCATAACAGGATTCTAATTTGAGTTCATTAAAACAAGTAAACGACTTAATTGACTTAATTGATATGACCAAAATTTATAAGTGTAATCACGGATTTAGATTAATTCTTTGAAAATATTTTATGATTTTATTTCATGCTCTCTTTAAAAGTATAATACAGTTAATTAACCTCCATAAAAATTAAACAGTTTTATAATACTGTCTTATCTTAAATATTTTCTCTCTTATTACGAGTAAATAACTACCAAATCCATACTTAATAGGAAGTGACAGGCGTTAATTGCAAAATGCAATAAAATCTTGCTCAATATTTTTAATAAATAAACTAAAAGCTATGCCGCGTTTAGAAACTCCCAAAATTGCAATCAACGGCACAAATTCTTTTCTAGAAGTTACTAGAAGTTATTCGAAGCCAGACTTGTTTCGTCATGGTTGTACGTAACGCTCGATTTCATAGTGTAATTTTTAGACATTTTAGCAGCCATATGCAAAATAGTTTACTTTTACTTAGCGAAGCTTTGCTAAAACAGTTTATGGTCGTGTGGAAGGCTTGTTAGCGGTTACAAAACATGAAGAATATAAAAACATAGTTATATTTTACAAAAATAATGTAAGTATATAGACGAGAGCACGTCTGAATAAAGTACTACCAACTCAGATGATATCGAATTGATTTCATCATACTTATTTATATGCATAAATGTTAACATAGGCTAGTGTCGGCTGTATTATACCATTAACCTAACACCTAGTGTACTTAGTGTACGTAAGTTTCACAGGTGAAAAATACCTACATAATATTATTCTGAGGTGCTACACAAGAACTAGTAAATACCTCTATCTCCTTCTTATTAAACTCCCTAGCATTTTCTAAAACTAAGAATCTGAGATTTTAAATTAAAATAGCCGATACAAAAGAAAAAATAATTTGAAAACATAACAGACTATTACGATTTCTCATAGAAACGATCATAAAACGAGCGTAAGTAGATTGAATCGCTTTCAACTGACGATGAGTTAGATATTATATCATTGATGCGTTTATACAGTGCTGAAAACTGTACATATTTACACCCCTATTATCTTTAGACTTAAAGCTCAAAATAAGTGACTTATTTTACCGGTTGTATTTTATTACCTGTTTAATGAAAGTTCCATTAAGTACTGATGCGTTGAAAGTGTGTGTTGAATGGGAGCTGATTGATGGTCATCTGCATACTTTAGATCTTGAAATCGAGATAAAATCACGGTACGATTATTGTATGAATCAAAGATTATTTAGTTTTAAATAACGACTCGTTAGTGTTCCATGAAAAGATTTTAAGATTATTTTTTGAAAAGAAATATTTACCTAACTGTTGAGAATGTTTTCATAAAAACATATTTTCTAACATAACAGTCACTAACTAACTATTATTTAAACATTCATACGCTGTAACAAACTAAAAGCTCTAACTCGAAAATAATGTATTCTGGAGTAACCAGATATTTAAATTTTCAAATTCAAACTAATCGTTGACTTAAATATTGAAGTTTGAATCAAGTTTAACGCGTCGCTTCAGAAAGTTGTAAAATATTACCCTAGCCAAGCCCTTAGAAATTAAAACCTTATTATGCCTTATTACATGAAAACATAGTCACAAATTGCGTTAAAGAGAAACTAAAATAACATTATATTAGTGACGCAAAACTTTCGTAAAGACTAATTTCGTGCCAACACATTTCTCCTTACAATGCAACGTCAAGCAGTTAATAGTAATGGTGCGTTATTATGGAAGTTTCAGCCCATTATTAGAGTCAAGGTTTCCTATAAATTATCATAAGATAGATGAACAAACGCCTATTGAGTGAAGGCACGAGCTATTATTCAGTTGTGCTGTAAAACAACGTTTTCTCTCACTTTGAGGTCATATTGTACAAAGGCAGTTTATGATGGCACAGTCCGGAAAGTGTCCGATCTTTGTATATGATATACATAGCGTGTATGTAAACTAGTAAACACATAAGCATTCTAATCAAAGTATAATCTACTTAGAAACACTGAGTGAGATTTAATTTTAAACTTACTGGACTCTACATTAGATAATTGAAATAACATGAATTATCGATCTAATTTATTTAACATTCGGTCATTGCCAGAAATATCTTAAAAAGGTATATGTTTAATAGTGTTTTAAAGTATTTAACCCTGGGTTACACCATCTCCACCATCTTACTTTAACTATAACATACGTAAAAAGTTAAACTCCATACAAAATCACCGGTTTTAATTAAGTAGTTACAGTTACCTAAAGTTAAGGTGTTGCAAGTTGCAACTGACGCTAAATGTTTCCTCCGTCAAGGAATAAAACAACATTATCAGTATCACTGTAAAACACTGCATGTGGGTATCCTTACAAATTGCACGATTAGAGTAAATAATAAACCCTGTTTGCATTCTTCCAAATGCAGTCATACGAGAATGTACGATTTACGATTTTCACACAGGTCGTATACTTTTCGGACGGCCATACATTATGCATGTTGTGATATGTTTCGTGACGTACCCCGATAGGCATTTGTCTTGGTCACAAGGACGATCTTTAGGCTGGGTTGCACCATTTTACTTTAACTTTGATAAACGTCAAAAATCTGTCAAACTCCATACAAAAAACACCGGTTTATCGTCAAAGTTACGGTCAAAGTTAAGGGGGCGTCCATAAATTACGTGAGACAATTTTGGCCATTTTTCAACCCCCCCGCCCCCCTTGGTGAGATTTTGCCTGACCCCCTCCCCCACCCCCCTAATCTCACGTGATATTTAATAAAATGCCTATTTTGCATTGTCTATGCTTCGAGTCTATTAGATTTATATGAAAAAATCAGTAACCCAGTGTCGTGCCACGCGCAGTGCAGGGTTCCGTAGCTTCCCGTCGTTTAGTAAGACAAGCAATCGCTTCAACCTAGGACCAGTTTTTTGATTCATAGTTAAAATAACTAATTGTTAAATTTTGCTACTAAGTAACGGTTAAATATTAATAAAATGAAAACTAATAGTTAAAAAAATTAGTAAAAGTCAAGTTAAACATTGTTATAAAATCAATTTTTTTCTGTTATTTAACCACTTGTCATTTGACATCTGTCAAATTTGACTATTGGTTACTTTAACTACGAATACATAATGTTTTCATACACGTATGTATGTATGTCATTTTTTCGGGTTCCGTAGTCCTGACAAGGAACCCTTATAGTTTCGATATGTCTGTCTGTCTGTCTGTCCCAGGTTTCGCTTGGAAACTATTGGCACTGGGGAGCTGTAATTTTGTGAAAGTATGTATATTAATCACGCCGACAAAAGGGTAAAATAAAATTTTGAAAAAAAAAAATTTCTAGGGTAGCTCCCCTGCATGTAAAGTGGGGATGAATTTTTTCAAGGAAAACTAGGTATAACGGTTAAGATACATTACTTAATTTAAGAGTAATAGTCATTTGCCTCATGTTTTATACAATTTCTTAACCAGTAAAAATTCCTTACAAGAAAATATGAAAAGTGACTTTAGATGAAGTAATTGCTTGCTTCTGAAATATATTGTGGTAACGACATACAATTACGGAACCCTAAACTGCGCGTGGCACGACACCTTTTATTTTTGAGGACCAACAAGTAACGATCAGATATAATTTTTACATCTCAATATCTTTTTGCGTAGTTCAAAAGAGATTAAAATATCGATCGATTTCATTTATTTTATGTCTCAAAGAAAGAAGATCAATCATTAAAATAGATGACCATTTAGATTTTTTTATTTGCCGTTTTTGCTAATTTAAAAAGATCATTTAAATACATGCCAATTATTAATATTTAAGTTGTACACTGTACAGCTACATTCAGCCGTTGTGGCATGCAGGTCTGAGGTAGAATGGCTAGCAAGA